TTGCCCTTGGATGCATCATTTGTACCCACATGGACCACAACCAGTGGGTAGTAGTCAGAGGGCTTGATGATTTTAGGGATGGTCTCTGTGACATTGCGAGTCCTCGCTCCAGGCATGCAGCACACCTGCCGTGACCAGGGCTCCGGGCGACAGATTGGACCATCGGTTCCCTTCAGGATGGAGTCCCCGATAACCAGAACTTTGTGTCTCCTTCTTCTTGGGGTATGCCTCTTCTGAGCCGGTGATGTAAGTCGAGCAGCTTCAATTCCTCTGGGGGCCAGTTCTTCTGCCTCCTCCTCCAGGGGGGGCCAGGGCTGCATACCTGTTCCCGAGGGGTGTCTGGGGAGCAGGCACAGCAGTTGTTCGGACTGCCCTGGCCTTGACAGGAACCTGCTGCCACCGTTTAGTTGGGCGCTATGCACGCGGGGTCTCTCTGGTGGATTCCTGACCCTGCAGAGACTGGAAATACAGGTCAATTTCATCCTCCACTGCCCAGATCCCCCGCAGCGTGCTCACCTTGGCCTGGAGCTCTGCCACCTGCCCCTCCAGAGCCTGCCTCACAAGAGGGGCAGGTGGGGGAGTCTCCAGACCTCAGTCCCACCCTCAGGGATCCCACCCAGGCACCCCCACAGCTCGGGGGGCAGGTGGTCGCCAGGCCCCCCAAGGGCTCCGTCTGGGTGGTAGCCTCAGGAGGCCCGGAAGGGTGGCACCACGGAGGCAGGACCCCTGGCAGCACTGCGAGTCCTCACCATGGCTTGCAGGTAGTCCTTACCTCTTCTTTTTTGGTGGAGTCTGCTCCCTCCTGAGGAAGAGACTCTCTTGCTGCCCTGCCTGCTTCTGCCTGCGCGAACGCCGGTGCGCCCTTACAGAGTGCTCCTGTTTGTGCGCTCTGTTCGCGTGCGGCTTTGGAGCGCGGCCCCCTGCCCGGCTCAGCAAAGAGGGATCTGGGGGCTTCCCCTCTGGATCCTCTGCAGCTGCGCCGGCTCCTGCCCCACTTACCTTCAGGGGATCAGCTGCTGCTGCCCCCTCTGTTGCTTCTCAGCCTTTGCTGCTTCAGGAACATTGCAGAGGGCACATGTGTGCTGAGAGCCCGCACATGTGCCCAGTCAGCCTCCTCTCCCTCCTACTGCACCCATCACTTTTCTGCTTTCTCTTGTTTCCTCAACATGAGCTTAGTAGACTTGAATAGCTTGGAAATGGCCGAAGTCTGCACTTCCCTTTCCTAGGGAAGAAGGTGAGGGTCTTCAGCTGAGTAGAGAGTGAGGACACAGGTGGTCATTAGGAAGATAGCTGTTATTGAACAAGCAGTGCAAGGAAGCTTGTTGATTAAAAAGTGCCAAGAGTAGAGCAAAAAGTGGGTAATAGACTTCTGGCTACTTACCAGAGTGGCCAGCTACAGCACTGGGGGAGGAAGGAAAAGCAATACAGTATCGGATGGATGGAAGACTGACTAGACCAGTGTCACAGAACTCTTGGTGTCCGTACATATCGCTGAAGTAGTTCAAAAGAATACTTAATTTTCCAGATACACTTTTGAACTGTTCCAGGTGACTTTGAATCAGGATAACAGGCTTGTATGTCTGTCTGCTTCAGGTTGAGCCTGCATTCAAATCATTCAAAGTGTTGCGTGTGTCCATGTCCTGCCTTCTGTTCCTCTTTCAGTGGTCATAGGTAGGGATCTCCAGAATTTTTGTTGGGAGCATGGGGCATGGCAGCTTCTTTAATCTTGGAGTTTTCTCTGCACGCTCCCTCCCTCCCCCCTGAAGATTGGCAAAGAGGGCTGGTTGTTCACTGCTTGCCACCTGGTTCTGATGACCGGGAGTCAAAAACCGCTGTGGTTTTAACTGCCCAGCCATCAAATGCAAGTGACAAGTGGTGTGGGAAACTCCAAGATTAAAGAAGCCACAGCACCACGCACTTCTGGTGAAAATTCCAGAGATCCCTAGCCATAGGTTTCGCTGTAAATTAGAGCCAAAGTAGAAATTTATATAGCTGAGTAACTTGGCATCAGCTGTCATTGGATATCACCTCTAATCCCTTTCTCTCACATATTTCTATGCAAAACAAGAATTCCCACTGTGCTATTCTCAGTAAGTGAGTATGAGCATTGTCATACTACCTCCCCTCAGCACACATTGTGGCAAGTGTTGGCCCATTGGTTTAGATAAATCTCAAAGAGCAATTAGTTTGGTGAACGAAGATTTCTTTGAAAAGGCTTGTTAAGTTTATTACAGCAGTTCTGATAAATATACGTTCTCATTTCAGATTTAAGAATGTTACTATTTTCATAGGTGCAACACAGAGAGTGACTGGTATCAGATCCATGAAAACATCATCAAAAAGCTAAATGCTCGTTACAACCTGACAGGCTCCAATGCTGGTGAGTATGTGTTCCAGAAAATTATGTTGTATTCTTTATGTGGTGTAAAAGATGTTAAGAAACTAAATCTTTCTATGAGAGAACCATTTTTGCTATTACATTTCCATAAACCAAGAATGAGTACTTTTTAACTGCTGTATTTATAGCAACGCACTTAAATGGTGCCACAGTACTTGCACATCTTCCCTTTCCAGTGTAGCTTAGCTAAAATCATATCACCAAATATTTACTTTTATTCTGAAGAGTGCCACACAGCTGTTAATGTCCTGCTTAAAATCAAGTCTCAAGGTAGATGGTGTAATAGTCACATGTAACACTAGATCATCAGCTGATGTAAATGGGTGTATATCTAATTGGCAATATTGCCTGGTCAAATACACGGCTGATTTTGGATTATAAGTAACCAACTATTAAAATTCTACATCAAGTTTAAGGGAGGGAGCATGGGGCCCCCACCTTGTTTTTAGTACTTCCTACTGTCCAGGTCAAAAAGATGCATATTGTTCTTATTTTAGAAGCTATTGCTATGGCTCTGTAGCCAGCAATGCTAAACCAAAACCTTCATTAAAATGGGTAACGTGTTAGTTTGTCAATGATCAGCTATTTACATTTGAAGTCAGATTCTGCTAACAGCTGACGGTAAGAATATCTATTCAGTTGATGTAGAAATTACTGGCACCACCTATTGGTAGAAACAGTTGAACTGAAATGTAATTTAGTCTGATTTTTGACTATGTAAATTTGGAGGAAGGCAGTTATTTCTTGATCTTTTAATTATTTCATTCTGAAAAGTTTATAAATATAGGACAAGGAATTTGAACTGCTACACACCTTCTGAAGCATGATTAGATATTGACCACAGCTACAGGTGGGTAGGTTTAGCTGTGGTTTCCTACTGCACTGGCTGGGATTTGGAAAAGTCTCAGGAATTTTTTCTACAGTGTCAGATTGACCAGGGACTGACAGGGGTTTTTTTGCCTTTCTCTCAAGTCAGGCGTAGGGAGTGGTCCTGTTCTTAAGATCAATCATTTGAACATTTATTAACCCAATGAATTCCTTATCACTGCAGTAGCCAAAACTTTGGCAATACCCTTATCTCCCCATGATCTTTACATGTGTCATGCTCTGGGGTTTTTTCATAAAGTGCATTGTGGCTGTGCTGTGTGTGTGTGAGGGGATGGAGTGGATGATCTTTTGGACCCTTTGGACAAATGGTTGTCTGCAAATATAGGGGACTGGAGTCAGTGGCCCAGGAATCTTGTTACTCTTTCACCTCTATGTTTATTATTTTAGCCAAAACTTAATGGCTCAAGCTCTCTCAGTGCCTTTTAAATCTTTGAATACAATACTTATGAGAGAAAACCCTAAAACATTCCTCACTGAATAAAATTTTACATATAAATGTACTTGAGATTACATTTGTAATATTAGAGGTTGTGCTAGAAGCAACACCTGTAATTAATATTGTGTCTCACTTTCCATTTTAAACACCTGCCTTCAGCTGGTTATAACTTTGCTATGCTTTATTCATTATGACTGGTGTCTTTCATGCTTAGTCTCTGCCTGTCTCAGTTTCTTTGAAGTGAAGATGATTCAAGAATTATTAGTGGGAAATGGCTAATTTTGCCAGGGTTAAAAAAATATAGCAGCCCTTCAAACATTTCTAGTGCCCCTATATTTTGGAGTGAGAATTTGAAATGAATTAAAGAGAGAGCCATGAGGCTGAGGGAGTGAAAACTCACTGGGAATTGGACAGGGTAGAAGCTTCTGAAAATAACTTGATACAAGTATAGCTTGTTTAGATGGGCTTTCCTTCAAGGATCCACTTGTATTGATCGTGACTCAACTTCCCAGAGCTCCTTCCAAATATAATTCACAAAGGTTATGTCTGCACTGCTTGTGTTGATCCTGTGAGGACAGATACTCCTAAACGTGCCCTGCCCATCTGCTGCTCTTCTCACTTCCCAAACTTTAAAATATAGTGCAGTCAGTCCTCGGACTTATGACATAATTGGTTCCTGAAAACCGCATCTTAAGTCGAAATGTTGTAACTTGGAACCAATTTTTCCATAGGAAACAATGTTATAAATGGGAAATTGGTTCCTGAACCAAGGCCCGATACCTTATTTTCACCAAAAATAATCTAGAATTTTGTACTCAATGAATTATAGATGAGTAATATGGCTACATTAATGTATTTATATTGTAAATAGCAATCATATTGACTTGGAAGGATTTCTTTGAGGTGACTTTGCTGAACTTTTTGAAAGGCTCTTGGTTGGACTTTTTGAGGGGTTCATGGCTGGAGTCTTCTCAGGAGTCTTGGCTGCAGATTTTTCTGGAGTCTTGCCTGCTTTCTTAAAGAAAGTGCCCAAGGAAGTTTGGACAGATGTTCTCCAGGGAGATGGATGACACAGAAAACTTGTTCGCTGGCATGGCGTCGCGTTGGATCAAGCATTGTAAAGTCGAAACTAACATCAGAAAGTTGAAACAGGGTGTCAATTTATAAACGTTGTAAGTGGAAAACGTAACTCGAAACATTGTAAGTCGAGGACTGCCTGTAGTCTCTCTGACCACTCTCCAGCATGCCAAGGACAGAGGTCATGAAGGAAGCTGTGTGGGGGGACTCTCACAGCGTGGCATCACTACCACAGTTCCAGGTTTCATGTTTGTGTGAGCAGGAGCAGGTGGGCAAGCTATGCTCAAGAGAATCCCTCTTCAGGAGCACTACTGAAGTACTGTAGAAGTTTACCAAGTCTGCTCTTGACTCCCACACATACTACTTATTGCTTCTACGTACCATATTTTCTTACATCCACACACCTCACTTCTTTTTTTGAAAGCAAAATACAGTAAAAATATTTTCCCAGAGTCCTAGCCAAAAGTTGACTATATGCAGCAGCTCACTTGCCCTCAGATAGCTTGCTGGCTGCTTCAGGCAAAAGCTTCAGCCCCTTCAAAAGCTTGTGGCTACTCATCTGCTTGCTCACCTGAAGAGAAGTGGCAGCCATTATAGGAAAGCATCTCCATGCTTCTGTTTCATCAAAAAAAAGCAGCTTTCCTGCTTAAGGTATGCACCTCACTTCTGGAGGGCTGATTTTTGGGAAAAGGGGACATATGGCATGCAAATAAATATGGTAGTAGGTTGAGCTAAAATTCTGAATGAGCAGTCAACTATTGTCCACTGTGCCTTAAGGTAAGGTACAGCAGAGTCCACCCTGAATGCCACTCTCTGCTCTTCCACTGATTTGATATTATAATTCTGTGCACTATAAAACTCTTATAGTGGACAAGGCATCTTAGCCCTACTCTAGGTGAGAGGAAAATACAGTTCATATCTTTGTTCAGGCTTCTATTATGACAATTGTCATCTGTTTAGTCAGACTGCCTTTAAGAATGCTTGTGACAAAACTGCTCTCAGCTGTGCTGCGTAACCACCAACCATTACTCTTTTAGCTCAAGCAGACAGAGAAGCCTGCAGGGTCCTGGATTCTATCCTGCTAATCATGCAATGTTGGTATGGTTCCCTAGGATAGAATTTCTCGGTTTATTTTTCAAATTTTTATTTTAAAAATGGAATTTGGGTGCCAAACTCTCATTGACTTTTAATGTAAGGTAAGGGCACATGCATTCTTTTCTTTTCTTTTTTTTACCTATGAATCTCTTCCCAAAAATCTTCAGTTAATTACAAGATCTTATACAATTTGTTTTAAAAAGATACCTGCTTCACTCTGTGCACAGGATAGATGTTTAACTATGACACATCCTGTCATATCATATCCTATGAGATATCACAGGTACAGACAACCTTCATCTCAGCGTTTCTAACGTCTGAGTGCTTGGCTTTGCAACCATGATATTTCTTTACTGTTCCTTTTTCTTTTTTTTATATTTTGGTATTGGCAAATCAAACATTGGGCCAGATTCATCCCTATGGCTTCTTTGAAGCTAATGAAATTATACAAGGGATTAATTTGGTCTGGTGTTTCTAGCCTCAACGAATTTAAAATTTCAATCAGATTGATTTAAGTGAAAATGACAGAACTTTTAATAGGGTGGATCAAAGAGGCTCAGATTGGTGGTATAGAGAGCAGTAGGGAATACACAGAAGGACATCCTGATTTTTAAGAAGCTAGAGTATGTGAATGAAAAGTAAACAAATTATTATTATTATATTATTTCTAGTACCTCTGTTAATTAACATCAAGAGTACAAGTATCTGAGTTAGCTTAAATAACTTTGTGGCACTGCATGGATTTGTCACATTTTGTCATTGCTTTTAGAAGTGCATTTTCTATTGCACTATGCTGTATACATTATCTACTACTGCACTCTGACCATATTATTGCAAGTTATGCATAACAGCCAGCTGAAGTGACTTCAGATAATTTAATCACAGTGTGGATGTTATTCCCATAGTACACATACTGACTTGTTTTCTTATTTTATTTTAGATCAGTTTTGCTAATAGTGTAATTAGATAAAAAAAATTAAAATAGGTGGCAAATTTATGTTTAATTATATTCAAATCCTTGATGCTTTTATTCCAGTTTGATAATCTAGGCATAATATTGTGGCCAATCATATCATCTTTATTCAATTGAGTAGTCACCTCAATTTAAATGGAACGACATGCATGAATAAGGGTTGAAGGATCAGGTCTTTTATTTTGATACAGTACCTTCAGTGAGAAGGATTACTGTGAATGCCAAGGAACTGTGGTTTTATCAGACAACATAATTCAGAATCAAAGTCCTTATTCTCTACAATTCCAAGGGATAATTGTATTCCTGATCATACTTTATCCTTGTAAAGATTCCTTTATATAATCCTAATCATGTGTGTTGTACCTCCCTGGACACCTTTGAGGAAAAGTGGTTTTCTCTTTAAAGACATAATCTAAAGTGTATTTAGGGAAGAGGGGAGAACTGAAATGTTTAATATAATTAGACATAAAATTATCATTTAAAGAAATGATTTGGTATCACAGTACAAGCGAC